TTCTTAAGAAAAATTACTGTATTTTCCAAAAGAAAAGAATGGTGTTGGTATTTTACATTTTTATAAACCCCTTTAATAAAGGACAGATAAATTCTCTTACCTGCTTTTACATTTAATCTGTTGTGATATGGTTGAAGTGTATGAAGAAAATTCAGTCTCAGATAATGTAGTTGGGAAGGGGAAGAATATTTTAATAGCCTTTTCAAGTAATTACAGCTATTGTTTGATAGTTCACTAAAGCTGGATATGGTAGAGTTTCTCAACAGTTAAACAATGTAGAATCTGAAACCATATCAGTGCAGTTTTATACTTTGTAGCATTCAAAGTCATTCATCTATCTTGCCTTTTGAGTGGATTCTTTTCTGTGCATGATTTTGTAACATCATGCATTAGTTACATGGAAAGTATTGGTTCACTGAATTATGCAGATCTAAATATTAACACATTTTATTGTATAGTATTAAAACAATCACATTTGTCAATATCACCATCAATTTCAGAATAGGCTTGAAGTATGAGGAATTGTCTAACTCATGGTGGTGGTTACATTTTCTAAAATTCTAAAATTCATTTAAAAGCTTGACTTTATCAGTGGCAACAAATATTGTGACTTCTATTCTTTGAAGTGACAGATTCTCCTCCTACCTAAGTCTGAATAATCATAGTTTGTCACTTGTTCCGGTAAAAATGGTGTTTTACGAAGAAAAGCAACTGGTTCAGTTTATAATTCAGTCACATAAATGGTTTTCCATGTTACAATTATTATTCTTTGGTATACAGCAGAAGTGATCCATGTATACTTCCTATTTTTTTCACACAGTTTTTCTTTGCTATTATAAATATTAAAGCTATGTACATTTACATACAAATTTCATATATCTGCAATGCAGCCCCAAGTGAAATTGCTGGGTTGTAGACTATACACATGCTGAAATTTGCTAGGAACCCCTGAACTATTTTCCAAAGTAATTATACCAGTTTACCATTGTCCATTTCTGACTGGTTTCTAAAATTTATCATCTTTGGTTTATGAAAACCTCTGCACCTCCCTCCCCTCTTTTTTTTCCTCTCTTGTCAAGCTATAGGTAGAGAACATCTACATACAGTTGAGTTTATCTTTGTCATTCTGTTTGATTTTTTAATTTCTTTGAGATCAGGATTCACCTTCTACCTCTTGGAAACAGACCAGGATGTGTACATGCAGTGGATGTTTATGATCAGTGTGGTTTACTATATTTTTGAAACATTAAACTATTAGAAAAGAACGCGATGTGACATTGATACCCTGGAATGTATACTCAAATAATGAAGCACAGATTGTATATAGATATTCACACGTGTACGTGCGTGCACACACACACACACATTATTAAAGGAAGTGCTATGCTATTTTATGAAGATGGTTTAGTGTGGTAAAACCTGGAATATTTTTGATTAGGAAATAATAGGATCTTCTACTTATCTTAATAATCCTTACATAAGCGTAAGACTTCACAACTTTTTTTCAAAGTGTTTTCCCGTTTAGTATTTGCCCACAAGTCAGCAAGAGGTATGTCTACCTTTTCTTATCCTTGCTATCTGCCTCCTCAACCTCTCTTCTACCCTATGCCCTTGGCAAACTGTAATTATTGACAGTTGTGAAATCGAAGTGTTTTGATTTTGGAAATCTCATAGGGTCTTTTGAAGCTTATTACAATTTAAAATGCCTTGGGCAAGTTTTGTGGGTCATAGGCAGCATCAAGGTGAGTAGATTAATAATATACAATGAATGGAGAATATGATTTCTTTTGTGCTAATGTTAAGATTTTTTAGCATTAAACCAGTGTTTTGTAATTATCAGCTTTAAAAACTTAGAAACAAAAGGGGAATATTGAAGAAATTTTCTTCTTAGTGTCTAAAAGGAATCAATTCTGACATTGAAACAAAATTCTGAACAAAATCATAATACAGCTTCATATAAGCTATAAATATATAAAAATATAGGTCATTGTAAGGGACTGAGTTATTTTTTGGGTCTCACCTCTCACCCCTTTGCATTCCAACAGTCTGAGCAGTAAGGTGCTCCTAGGGTGAAGTGGGAGCCATATATGGCAAGTTATTGTAGTTCCGTATATCACTGCTGAATTGCTAAGTGGTATATTGATACGACAGTATAGCATAGTGGTTGAAGGCATGTTTATATCCCAGCTTTGCCACTTTCTGTTCTTGACACTTAGCGTCGTCTCTCAAAGTCTGTTTCCTCTTCTGCTAAGAAGTACTATTATATCCATTTGCCTTTTAGGACTGATATGAATATTAAATAAATTAATAGATGTTAAATGCTTAGACCAATGTGTGGCTTTTAGTAAGCACCTCAGTGAATGTTTGTTTTTGTTTTTATTTGGGAAGTGTTGTGATACAGGGTTGGGTCAAGGACAAGGTGGAATTCCTGAACTTACTGACTGATAAATCAGGAAAGGTTTTTACAAGAGACATAACTTTTTAGCTTAGTCTTTAAGGATGCTAAGGAAGCATTTCATATGGCAGAGGGGTTAATGGCATTTCATTTTGAGAGCTAGATATGCAAAAGGCATGGGAACATGTAAGAGCATGTTTACAACAAGATGTTGGAGAGCTACAGGTGGTTCAGTTTGTCTAAACTGTGTGTTGTGAAAAATGTATTGGACTTAGAATCATAATACATTACTCTTTCACTAGGCCAAGTCATACAGTTTCCTTCAACTTTAGCTTCCTCATCCCATAGAATGGGGCTAATGATGTCTATCTCATATTTTATTGTAAGGATTAATTTGGAGTAGTAAAAGTGCAATTTCTTTAATGGATTTTCTGTGCTTTATTTTCTTCAATGGATTTGACTATACTTAAAAAAATTTTTTTAAATGATGTATTTATTATACTGTTTTGGTTTGGATTCTATGGAAATACCATAATGACAATGAGAAGTTTGTAATACTAAATATAGTTCACTTTTTACAAGTAAAAATTGAATAGTGTGAATGGATTAGGTTCTTCCAAAAAGAAAGTGGCTTAGCTTCTTTTAAAGAAAATTTAATTATCTCTTATCTGTGTAAGAAAACAGATTTTGATGATATTTTTAGGACAGGTGAATTTTGAACAGTCAATGGTTATGTACCTTTGCTTCTTAAAGAGCGAAGCTGTCTGAGGGATCATTTACATATTGGACTGGAGGGATTGCATGGTCAATGAATGAGTGAGTCTGTGGGGAAGAAGACTCACTCATTACTAGCCTTAAATTTTGTAACACATCTTTAAATTATATCCTGTCCAAATTCTCAGTATTTGTGAGCATGGTTGCATTCATGAAATTCAGTAACTGAGAATTTTCTTTAAAAATATGCAACACATTTATAGATCAATGGGTATCTTAATTTAGCTTATAAATTCTAAAATAAATCTTATTTTCTTAAAAGAAAAAGTGTAAGGTTATGTCAAGAAAAATGCAGTTAATAAATAGTAACACAAAGAAGTGTTTATGAAAAGAGAAATTTCCTAACAGACTGTCACTCTAAAGTACTATTTTTTTTTCTTCAGTCTTTTGATTCTACCTATTTTTTTTCTTATTTCTGTTGGTTGGTCAAAGCATACGTGTCTTGGCTAATTTTGCTGCAGACTTCTGTTCTTGCCTCCAAGTTTGTCTTCCATTTTGTCTATATACTTATATCATCTTTCTGGGCAATTCTTTCTCTACAGTATATTCCTGCTTGATAATTTATGTTCTATGCACTTTTTCTCAGACAAGTGTTTGAGTCCTTTACTGTTAGCTTTCCCACTTTGGTTACTAGACTTATTACTCCTCTTGAGGTAATAGTTGTTTGCTGTTTTACCACATGCAACTTGTTTCTCTGTTCCTTTGTGTTTTTTAATATATTTGTGCCTTTTTGTATACAGCAGATGGCATGAGTCATGTATACCTATTACTTAACTCCTCTCACCATTTTCTCCAATCTCAGACTTTATTTTCAGGTGCTTGTAACTTACTAGTTAGCCCTACCCTACCTGACTGCTCATTTTATTTTGAAAAAAATTACTCACTTTAAACATTTGACATACCTTTTGTGTTAATCCATTTTTGCTTGGATATTATGGGTTTTAACTTTCTTAGAAAAGTTTTTTTTTTGATATATGTTTTTCATTTAGATTATACTCTGTTTAAAGGACAGAAACTTTTTTCTCTACTATTTTTGTATTATCCCCTTCTAGCACACTGCATATAAAAAGTGAGTATAATAAATGTCCATGACTGATTCATCAGGTACTTATAATGGCTTCTTGTCCTGGCTGTCTTATAGAACTGAGTAAAAATTTTGATCCATATTTCACATGTAAATATGTTGAGTTAAAATGTGCAGTATTAATAGTAACAACTCCTTTGAGACCAGATTTTGACATTGGTTAGGCTGGTTGATCTAGATTTTTGATTGGAGTTGTCATTGTTTTATTTTGTACTTGATAGTATTGGGTCAAATAACAAAATATAAGGCAGGTAAGTAATATTTTTAGATAACTATATTTACACATGTGGAAAGACATTTGAATTAGTCATAAACTTGTGACTCTTAAAAATGGTTTTTATCAAGAAGAGAAAAATAAGGAATCAATAGGCTCAGGCATACTGGGGCAGTGAATATTATGCTAAAACTCTTAGCAACTATGTAATTGCAAAGCCAAAAATCAGAATTGCTATATTATTCAAAATAATTTTTGATTACAGGATAGTTTTAATTTTTAACTTCAGTGGGAAAATATAAATATGTTGCATACCCTAAAGAATCTAGATTTCAGTGTTTTCATTTTATGCCAAAATTTTGTTAGTAATTCCTAAATTATATTAGTAGTGCTTAGTCAAGAGGGCCAATAATAAGTCAGTGTGTAATACTGACTAAATATTTAGCAGATGGTACTGCTCTAAAGGTTGTTTGAATAATTAGAATAATTAAAAATACTAGAAAAAGAAATAAATGGTCAAATTGATATTTCAGAACTTGACTGAAAAGTTGCTGAAGAAAGAACTGGACTATACTCAGCTTGAGGAGAAACATAATGAAGAGCGTGTGAGTAAAAAGAATATACAAGCAAGCCTTCATCAAAAAGACCTAGACTGTCAGCAGCTTCAGTCAAGATTATCTGCATCTGAAACCTCACTGCAACGAACACAGGCAGAACTAGGTGAAAAGGGAGAAGCTACTCAAAAAGTCAAAGAAGAATTAACAGAAGTAGAGACCAAGTACCAACATCTGAAGGCGGAATTTAAACAGCTACAGCAGCAGAGAGAAGAAAAGGAGCAGCATGGGTTACAACTTCAAAGTGAAGTTAATCAAGTAAAGCATGTTACTTTTATTTATTATAATTTCTCCTTTGTTTTTTCTTAGCATGTTTGATGGTTATTTGATCATAATATATAGTTCATTTAAAAAAATTAACTTAATTTTCACAACCTATAATATTGGGTCAGATCTCATTTCCTTTGTTTCCCTTAAGATGAGAAAAAAAAATGATAATAGTTATAGAGTATTGTGAAGTGTTTATGAATTATACACATAAACTGCTAAGGAGGTACCTGGCACGTGATAGTTATTCAACAGGTATTAGCTACTGTAATTAATTTATCTTGTTGACCATTCTTTAAGAAACCTTACATTTTTTTTGTTACAAATTTTCAAAAAATAATTATCAGTAAAGCAATAATATAAAAATTTGGTATTTTAGAAGAAGAAACAGCTTAGTCCTAACAACTACTTAATAGATAAATAATGTATATCAGATGAAACTTGATGCAAGTTTTGACTTAGTCATTAACTTAATTTTTAAATTCCATATTTAAGTTATTTTTTATAGATAACATTAAGATTGGTTGGAAAACGGAAATTTGGGGGAGATAAAGTCCTCAGCCACTTTTTTGATAATGTTGAACTTTTTTCACTTAAATGATAGTGATATTTGCTATTGTGGCATCAATCCTTCTGTCTGCTTTGCCTGAGATATTCTTCCTATTTCTGTTCTCTGGTAAACATTACTTACTTCACTTGTCAGTTTTCTAGAAATCCTTTTCTGAATATTGCCACTTCTCCTCACTTTCCCCAAAAGATGACTCAAGCATGTACATATCTTGACTGCTTTACTTACCACAGTAGTACATCATAACTTCTGTGTCTTTCTTCACTAGACTCTGAACTCTTTGGATGCAAAGACCATGTCTGACTCATTTTTTATCCTCATTACTTGGCATATTGTTTATCAGTCAGTTAATGTTTTAGTGAGTAAGTAAGTGAATAAATAAGTATAGGCATTCATCATAGAAGGAAACAGGCTTGGGGATATCAGTGAATAACTTGAAAAGTACCTGAGATATTTGATTTTAGTTTGGATAAACAAATTGGGCATTTATGGTTATTAAAAGATGCAGTGCCTTATTTGTTAAGAGATACAAAAAGGAAAAAAGGAAACAGTACGTACTTTAAATGATTATGTAAATCCCACTGAGGATATGGCAAATATTATTCTATCCCAAAGAACATGAAAATTGTAATAAAATGATCCCATATATGTGGGAATTTGGAAGAGTTCCTTTCCTGATTTCTTCCCCCCATAGTACTTCATATTGTGTATTTATTTTACCCAGTTACATGATAAGGAAAAGTTCTGTGTGAGAGAGAGGTGGTGCTTGAAAATGTGAATATTGGACAGATTTTGGCAAGTGGCAGTTGGAAGGCAGGAGGGTCTTCTAGGCAGAAGGATTAGTGAGAGTAAATTAGTGGCAGGGAAGAGAGGACTATTGTGATTGGAAAGAGCACTTGGAACTTTATTAAGTAGGGTCTTGAATAGCAGGCTGAGGAATTCGGCGTTTATTTTGTTGTTGGTGGGTTAAGGGGCATCAGGAATTTTTGAGAACCTACTCAGACACATTTTTACACAAAGACTTGGATATGTGATTATTTAGTTTAGTCACAATTCTGTACAAGATAAAGAGGTCATATTGAAGACCTTGAAGTGATACCATTTATCTTCTTTCTTTGAGCGTGCTGTCTGGATTCTATCTTCAAGTATATCTCAAATCTGTCCACTTCTCTTCTTCCACACTGCTACTACCCTTAATCTAAGCCACCATCATTGCTCACCTGGGCTACTGTAGCCTTCTTAAAGTTTCCCTTCTTCTAGTACCTCCTTAATCTATTTTCCATGCAGAAGCCAGAGACAACTTTTTAAAACATGAAGGATATCACTTCATTCCTCTGCTTGATACCCACCAGTGGCTTTGCATAACACTTTGAATTGAAACCACACGTCTTACTTTGGCATGTCAGCATCTGCATGTAATAAGGCCCACACTATGTCTTCAAACTCCTCTCCTACCACTGTGAAGCTCTGTTGATCTCCTTTCAGTTCCTCAAGCACACCAACTTCTCAAGTGCTTTCCTGTCTTAGGTTCTTTCCCCATGTTTTTTTCTTAGCATGCTCTTGACTTAATTTCTTCATAAGGCTGGCTGTGGAAGACTGGAAATGAATCTTACTTAAAACTTTTGTCAATACTCCTAAAGAGTGTAGGCATGAACTGGGTTGGTTTTGCTCTCTGCTGTATGCGTTGCACCCATTTTGGTACTGACAAAATTAGATAGCTAGCTAGCTAGCAGTTGTCAACAAAGGACTTGAAAACCAAGGTACTTCAGATCTGTGTTCATGAGCACTTCTGAAATAGCCATAGATGTGCAGGTAATGTTACATAACTGAAATATTAGATGTCATCAGTTTAGTTTTTAAAACTAACACGTCATCTTGAATAGTGTAGTGGTTTATAAGTAGGGATTTAGGAGCCAGCTGCCTGAGTTCCCATTGTGTGGCCCACAGTAATCTCAGGCAAGTTATTCAACTTGTGCCTCAGTTGGCTCATCTATAAAATGAGGGTAATAATGAAACCTCTTCATAGGGTTATTATAAGAATTAAATTAGTTAATATTTGTGAGGCATCTAGAATAGGGCCTGGTACTATATAATAAAT